AAATATTTAACGATATCTTTTGGCAGTACCCTATGGAATTTAAAAGTATTTGAACAAGCCTTTACATTTTGTTTGAGCAATGATTCGGCGACAGTAGGAGAAGAATTTAATGATTTTGTTGTCAAAAAAGGAACATCAGTAAAATGTTTCTCAAAAGCCATAGCAACTTCTTGATCAGATCGCGTTAAATTATTGTTAATATTCAATTGAAAATCCGAGTTGCGCGGTTTGACTTTGCCCGTTTTACTATTTATTATTCTCCAGGTCATTTTAATTTTGTCGGATGCAGTTTTAATTTTGTTGCTTAAATGTAAAGCCTTAGCAGTGGAGCACACTTTTTTAAATATTTTAGAATATGTTTTTACATAATCTCTAAATATAACACTACTATTATATGATCTTTCATCATAAAGCTCGTATAACCTTCGCCTACTTTTATAAATTCCTACTGTCGCCCATTCATTAAATGATTTGCGACTGTTAAAAGAGAAAGTTTTAGAAGTAAATATTCTACTAAATTCACAACGTATAATTTCAAATAATGTAGCATACAAATAATTAGCACTATTTTTAAACGAAAGTGATGGAAGTCTTTTTATTATATTACTTCTAAACCTCTCCAAGCGATGTTCATTTATTGGAACAAACACAACTTTCTTATTTTTCTGTTTTTTGTGTATGTAAGGTAGTGATACTAACTGTCTACAGTGATCTGAACTTAAATTTTGAATAATTGATTTATGTAAGGGCTTAACATCTGTAAAAATGTTATCTATACAGGTCGCACTAGGCCCAGCAATACGTGTTGGTTCTAAGAATAAATTTACAAGATTATACGATTTAAACAATGAGCTAAACTTAATACTAATGGAAGAAGTTTCGAGGAGATTGATATTAAAGTCTCCACACATTACAACAGACATGTTGTGTGTGTTGACTGTTTTGTTAGTTTTACGTGTCAACGAGGCGGATTTTGAATTCTTATCCCGGCGTAGTATTTGATATCGAAAGAAGGAATTTAGTTGTGTTTGTAACGCCGTGTGACTCATGAAGAGATCGCGTTAGTTCACTATTCGTAATTTGGTGATAAATGATCGATATGTCGACGCCAAGGATTCCGATACTAGCCGAGGCAGCAAGGGCAAAACTGAGGAGATACGACAAAGGGGTTCTTTTTAGCGGTAAACGCGCAAACTTGTGTCTTCTGAGGATTAAACTGGACTAGATTTAGTCGCCCCCAATCCGAGACTTTGTCCAGCAAAGACTCGACTTCAGACACAAGTTTGTTCCGGTACTCGGCGACGTTTTCCCGAGAAATATTGGCCCGGCCGGTGTATAGAGCATCACCAGTGCTGTCATCCGCATAGCAATGAATGTTACCAGTTAGCAACATATCATTGATATGCAGAAGAAACAGCGTTGGTGATAGCACACAGCCTTGTGGAACACCAGCGTTAATAGGCTTGTAGTCAGAACATGCACCGTCTACAGCGACCTTGATGCTCCGATCTGCAAGAAAGCTGGTGATCCAATTGCACAATTTCTCGGGAAGCCCATAGGAAGGCAGCTTTGAAAGAAGCGCTTTGTGCCAAACCCGATCAAAGGCCTTCGCAATGTCCAGACTAACGGCCAACGCCTCCCCCTTGGACTCTACTGCCTCCGCCCATCTATGGGTCAGGTAGACAAGAAGATCACCAGCTGATCGACACCGACGAAAACCGTATTGGCGGTCACTAATCAGCTGGTGATCCTCAAGGTACCTCATGAGCTGGCAGTTTATAATGGATTCCATTATTTTGGAGAACAAGGAGGTGATGGCAATAGGCTTGTAGTTGGACGGGTCTGAGCGGTCGCGTTTTTTAGGGATCGGGTGGACCAAAGCTGTCTTCCATGAATTCGGGACTACGTCTTGGGAGTAGGAGTACCGAAAAAGACGTGTTAAAACCGGTGCCAACTCCGGAGCACACGTCTTCAGCACAATGGGAGGGACTCCATCGGGCCCACTCGACTTGCTGACGTCCAGGGAGAAGAGTGCTTTACGAACCGAGCGCTGTGTAAACCGCACATCCGGCATGGAGCACTCACATCGCGGGATGGTTGGCGGTGTGTTCCCCCCGTCATCTAGAGTCGAGTTGGACGCAAAAAGAGAGCTCAACAGATCGGCTTTCTCCTTTGCGGCATGGGCCAGTGAGTTGTCCTCTCTGTGCAGAGATGGAAGAGATGGCTGACAGAAGTTCCCTTGGACAGCCTTAGGACAGCCAGCGAGAGACCAGAATGCACGGGTTCCCGAAGGAAGGCGAACTAGCTTCTCGCCAATTCTGCCGATGTGCTCAGACCTTGCCTTTGCAATGACGCTTTTGAAGGACCTGGAGGCGGAATTATACTTCTTTTTAAGTGCGCTGGTGTTTACATCCCGAGACGTTGATGCGTCAGCCCAGGCCCGGTAGCACTCCAGCTTATAGCGTGATGCTATTTTACAGGAGCGACCAAACCATGGCTGGGATCTGCCTCCGATGGGCACCACAGAGGATGGAAAAAAAATTCCATACCCTGAAGTACCACATCAGCAACAGAATCGGCAACAACGCTGGGATCTTCCGGCGAGAAGCAAACCCGCCGCCAAGGGTAGGATGCAAAAAAAGAACGCATCCCGTCCCAATCACGGCGGCAAGCTGCAGATCGCAACTGCGATTGGAGCGTGAGTGGCACCGTACTTCGGATCAGACAATGGTCCGAAGAGCCCAGAGGGGCATCGACGGTGACCTGATATCCGTCCGGATGAGAGGTCAGCAGAACGTCCAACAGGGAAGGTACATGGTCTTCCACATCTGGGATCCGCGTAGGAGTAACCAGTTGTAAACAGATCTCCTCTCTGACGTATACGCAAACTCCAGCCCGGGGCACAAAGGAGTGTTCCAATTTGCACCCTGGGTAGGAGAGATATGAAGTATCAGCCGGAGAGGACACCTGAGTCTCGGTTAAAAAGAGCAAGGCCGGCTTTGCCGTCTCTAGATGGTAATGGACAGCGTTAAGGTTAGAATGAAGTCCCCTGATGTTGCAAAAATTCACGGATAGCGTGACAGGGGTCGCCTTGGTTGTATTGCTCCGCTCGCCCCGAGCAGCATTAGGCAAACTCCATCCCGGGGCACAAAGGAGTGTTCCAATTTGTACCCCGGGTAGGAGAGATATGAAGTATCAGCCGGAGAGGACACCTGCGTCTCGGTCAGAAAGAGCAAGGCCGGCTTCGCCGTCTCGAGATGGTACTGGACGGCGTTTAGGTTCGAGTGAAGTCCCCTGATGTTGCAGAAATTCACGGATAGCGTGGCAGGGGTCGCCTTGGTCTTGTTGCTCATTTGCCCCGAGCAGTTATTGTGTTGAGCGGAATTTTGCCCCCCCCCTGGGGGGGGCAGAATTCGCGGGGCAGCCTGAGCTCCCACGCTCAGGAGTGAAGTAGTTTGGTCGTGGATGCTCAGCGACGGATTCTCCAGGGGTGCTGGTACCCTCCTGGGGTAGTCTTTTATTTAATTCCACTACCATGTTGATGGGGAGGGGGGGGGGGGATTGGGCTTCCGGCCACCTGCACTCACCAAGCGCAACGCAGAGGTAAATCTCTACTTCACGCTGGTATTCTGTGAGGTCGTGGTACCACCCCGGTTCGAGCTGGCCCATCCGTGCGACAGCAAAAGCTACCGCTTAGCTCTACCACTGTTGAAACAATTTTTACAACATTTTACAGCATTAATTAATGTGTTTTTTTATTGTCTTTTGTTAAATTTAATGATATAGTGAATTCTCATCCTTACATATAATTCAATTAAAAATCGTGATGAAAGCAATCACATGGTTATTAGAATTCAAGTTTATTTAAAACATCATCCAATCTTTCTAAATACTTCAAAATAATACCTAGTAATAATACCATGTTGCGGTGTGAACACCAAAAGCATGCAACTGATTCCGTGTATGTGACACTCCTAAGCGGGCGTACCGGTACGCAAGTGAGCGAAGCGGTACTACCGCAGACGTACGCAAGCGAAGCCGACAGGTACTACCGCTGACGTCGCGGACAGGAGGGGAACTACGCTCTCCTTCATACCGCGACCCACCGCTGCTCCTTCTAGTCGCTGAGTTGACTCACTATTAGTATTTATTACACATATGGTTATACTTTATCTTGGCATAACACAATGACAAGGTGTAATCCATTTATTTGCTTTTTATCGACGGTTCTTTTATATTCCGTCATTTTCATTGTTTTACATTCTGTTTTTAATACTTAATTCTGTTTAAATTCTTTATACATTCTCAGAGTTGTTACATGTAATATCTGGGGGTACGGCAGTGCTCCAGCCAAGTCGAGCAAAAAAGCGGCACGGCCGTACCATTCTTTTCTCGAAGCAGTTCAGGCCATTTTAGAAACCCTATAATTTCGTTGAGGATAAACCTAGAAGCCTGAATTTTCCGTAACCAAGTAGGCATTATATAAACGCGGTATATTTCGAAATTCATTAAATTTAAATCAGTTGTTTAAGAATTATAACTAGTAAAAGTTTCTTAATTTTGTCACTCACTGACTGACCGATCATCAAAACTCGTAAGGCACTTCTAGCAGACATAGAAGCTTCATATTTGGAATATAATTAGTGTTTATACGACCTTATCAATATAAAAATCTTTTATGTTTTAAATTAATAGATTGACTTGGCAATCGCACTAAACAATCTAATTTAATATAATATGTATTACTTGTGAGATACATTGTGTTTTCATGCGATGGCCAAGTCAATCTATTTATTTAAAACATTATTTTGATATGGTCACTATAAGATGTTGTTAGGTTAGCTCAGTGGTCGGCAAACTTATTGGCCAAAGAGCCAAATATGAACATTACAACAATTTAAAAAAAATTGAGAGCCAAATTTGCTTGTTTAGTAAACTTTTATTAAACTAAATAAGTAGTACACTAAATAAAACTAAATTTCATACTTAATAACTATTTATTAATGAGAACAATGTGCTTGCATCTCCTTGGAAAGTTTGAGTAAGTCAGGTTTGTACGTTGTTGTTTTTAATTTTAGGCATGATTCCAAGTTCTCATCAATAAGACGACTTCTCAGTTTACTCTTGATAATATTCATGCTTGAAAAAGATTGTTCACATATATATGTGGAACCGAAAAGAGAAAGAACAGCAAAAGCGAGCTTTTTCAGCTGATCGTAAGAGTCAGGAATACTATTCCAAGCGTTGAAAATAATCATTTCTTCCTTCTCCAGGTCATTCAAAGCAGACCACTTGTGTTGTGAACTAAGATCACATTTTTTCTTCTCCAAAATTTCCAATTCAACACAAAGACGTTCGAATTTAGAGCGCCATATCTCCTTGTTTTTTAAATCCTGCAATTGTATTTCAAAGCTACCAATGTCAATTTCAAAAGGAGAAAACTTCAACTCGGTTATCGTAGCATTAAGAGGATTTTTGACAAATGCTAAAGTTGCTCTGCTGTTTTTAAATTCCTGAAACCTGCTGAGAAATGTTTCCCTCATATTTAAAATTATTGTTTTAAAATGCTGTTTATCAATAGAGGAATTATTTTCCTGACGATGCTTCAGCAGGCTCGGAAAGTGAAATAATGTTTCCCTTTCAAAATCCTGAGCAAAAATGGATAATTTGTTTTCGAATGTTATTACTTCTTCTAACATCGATAAAATTAAGTTTCCTTTCCCTTGTAGTTTACGATTAAGCTGATTTAGATGAGAGGTAACGTCTACCATAATATAAAAGTTTTGGATCCACTGATCGTCTGTTAGTTCTGGATAGTGAACGCCCTTCTCAAGGAGAAATGCTTTAATTTCCGGAAAAAGGGACGCGAAACGTTTTAAAACGTTTCCTTTTGATAACCAACGTACCTTGTTATGAAGCAGAAGATCAGCGTACTCACTCTCCATTTCAAATAAAAATTCTTTGAATTGGCGATGATTAAGAGCTTTAGCTAAAATGGAGTTGATAATGGTAATCACTAATTCCATAACTTTACAAATTTCATCCGGAAATGTTTTCGCACAAAGCGCTTCTTGGTGAATGATACAATGGTAAACAAGTATCTCGTGATTAATTTTTTCTTTCAAAATAGCAACAAATCCTTTTCTCACGCCGGTCATACTTTTGGCCCCATCTGTTGAAATCGACACAATTTTATCGAGGGGAATATGATGTTTATCCATACACTCAATTACAGCATTTGCGATATCTTCTCCACGCGTCTGACCTTTGAGTGGCAATAATCCTAAAAGTTCTTCTTTAGGGCCTGAATGAGACATAAATCTTACAAAAAGTGAAACTTGCGCTGTATCATTTATGTCACAAGACTCGTCAACTGCTATTGATAAAGCCGAAACTAATTTTAGATCTTCGATATTCTGGGTGGTTATATTTGAACACATTTTAATTGTTCTATCTTTAATGGTTTTGGCAGACAATGGTAACTCTTTAATTCTTTTCAGAATATCTGCTTTGTTCTTAAAATCCCGAAATAGCTCTTCGGATGCATTTATAAGACATTTTTTTATGTATTCGCCGTCTGTGTACGGTTTCCCTCTCTTAGCAATCTCTTGGCTAAAAACAAAACTTGCCATATTAATATTGCTGGAAGATTGCATCCAGTTATTAAACACAGAAGTTGACGACTCTTGACTCTTCTGAAGTTCCTGAACTGCTTTCTTTCTTGCATCACCGGTAGGATATTTAGTGCTAAATGACGCGTGCTTTCTTGTAAAGTGTCTCTCTAAATTTGACTTTTTGTTATGCGCGAATTTCTCCTTACAAATAAGACATGTCGGAAGTCCATTCAAGTTTTGAATGAACGCAAAATTCTCGGTCCACTCAACTTTAAATTCGCGGTTTTCATCTTCCGTTTTTCTTTGCTTTTTTTTGGTAGCCATGTTGATTGGGGTGCCTATAAAAATATTCCAAAAATTCTCTAAAGCCACAAGTACAAAATTATTATCATTATTAAATTTATGAAATAAAAATTTAAAAAAATCTTTTTAAAAATACAATTTTATTAATATACTAACTGTCTCCCGCGACTTTGCCCGCATGTAATTTGGGGTTTTAATTATATTGCGCGGAACCCTAATTCTTTTTCTCAAATATAAGTAAGTTACTCCGTAGAACATTAGCTATCTGCCAGTGAAAGTCCCGTCGAAATCGGTCCAGCCGTTTCGGAGATTAGCCGGAACAAACAGACAGACAGACAGACCGACAGACAGACAAAAATTTTAAAAATTATGTTTTTGTTATAAGTACCATATATACATTCATATGCATTTAGTAAAAAGCTGTTATTTTAACATTACAAACAGACACTTCAATTTTATTTATGTGTATAGACTAGCTTTTCCTCGTGACTTCGCCTGTGTGTAATTTATTACAATTGGATTTCATGGTTTTTTTTAGTTTTTCGAGCGAAACCCTAATTCTTTTTCTTAAATAAAAGTAGCCTAAGTTACTCCCGGTACGTCCCGTAGTTTCGGAGATTAGCCGGAACCAACAGACAGACAGACACAAATTTTAAAAATTACGTTTTTGTTATAAGTATCGTATATAACTTCATATGCATTTAATAAAAACTATTATATAAGCTATATATATATTTTGACATTACAAACAGGCACTTCAATTTTAATTATTTTTATATACAAACAGGCACTTCTATTTTATTTATTTGTATAGATGTAACTGCACCAAAAAGAAACAATAATTTTTTCCATCATCAGAATAACAAAACTTTTAATATGACCAAAAATGGAAGAAAACTTCTAACATTTGGACAAATTGAATTTATCGAAAAAATCGATAACAAATTTTGTACCGGATCTACAAACAAACATAGCACGTGTAATAAAATCGTATATAAATACCTGTAAGATGTGAAGATTACTATTAAGATTATTTAGCTAGATTGAAAAATACAACAAATTTTTAATAAAACACGACAACGGCAGACACGGTAGATAAGACAAAACTCTTCACACTACGACTGCTTGCTGGTCTGAGATGCGAATTTGTATTTTGCAGTGTTGCCAACTGCTAGCTTTACCCAGTTGCTAGACATTTTTCAAAATATTGCTAGATTGCCAGCTTTTATACCCCAAAAAGTTGCTAAAAGTAGCTAAATGTTACAGTACGTAGGTAGATTACAATAAAATGTCAATTTCTGACAATCATTTTTAATTTCCAACAAGAGAGTTAAAAATGTCTTGTGTACAGTCACGAGCAATAATATGTAAACAACATAGGACTATATTATTTTATATTTATTGTCGACTTTTGTGGCACAAATAGTTTTGTTTCGGAGCGCTAAACGTGACAAAGTTCTATGTTCTTTACATATTATTGCTCGTGATTGTACGTTATTGAATAAAAAAAAAACAAGTTTAGAATTAATCAACCAAAAAAGTAGATGTCTATATTTGGGGTTCACTGTCTTTCGTCGTTAATTCCGAATATTTTTCAGCGGTGCCCATATTATGCTTTATAAAACACGGTTATAGCAGCATTTACCACTTTTACTGAGGGAGTCACTAATGCAGAGGATTGAGTTCAGAGTTATGAAACTCAACCAACCTTTAAATTCGTCCATATTTTCCCACTTCGGTCTATATTTCTGTGCGTACGCTTTTTTTTTTGAAGATAAATCCATTTTCAAATAATATTAATTTATATGAATAAAACAAAACAACACAAGGTGGTAGGTTAGTGAGTAATCCGACGTAACACAGCAGGTAACGGGGAATTCCCGGCCAACACCGACCTAAACCTACCAACTATGACCATAGATTCGCGTTAAGTTTTTATTTTTTCTTTCGAGACTCGGTACCCTACTCTACGAATCTTGATAGCCTCACGTCTCATGATGAAATGAAAAGTTGCTATAAAGAGTAGCTAAAAAGTTTAGCTACAAATTTCATTAAATTGTAGCTGTCCGTCACCAAAAAATAGCTATATCTAGCTATAAAGTTGCTAAATTGGCATCACTGTATTTTGTACCCCCACTACTTTAGAAAAAGAATGCACTCGCATGCTTGTGCTTGGTACCTTACCTTTGTATCACAACGGTGTACGCCGAAAACATACGAATAATTTCAGCCGGTGCACAACACGGTTTGTGTTTACGTTTACGAAAACTAATAAAATTAAACTCTATGTTCGTTACGTATTTTTACAACAATATAAAATTTTAATTATCTATCTTTTAACTTAAACAAAAAATTATACATGTTCTCGATTTATAGAAGAATTTTAATTCATCGAAATAAGCGCCTTCCGTGGATATTTGTGCCAGAGCCGCACTTAAGGAGCCAAAGAGCCACATGCGGCTCTGGAGCCGCACTTTGCCGACCACTGGGTTAGCTAATTACGTAATAACTTAAGATAGAAGGACCTTTAAGTAGGGACTGAATAAATTAACCGACTTGTTATTACATGGATCTCACAATTTTTTACGGTAGAAGAACTGAGTTGCAAGACTTGGTTTTTTTACAAGTTGTTTTGGCGGCATATTGATTACATACCTAGTCAGGTCATAAATTCTGTCACATCTTTAATATAAAATAATTGAAACAAGTTTATACATTATGTAACCATTTATATACCAAAATAAACTTAACAAAATATAGACTCTTATGACACTAAAGTTTATTCAAAATGACCTCCGTGATTTTGAATACAGGCCTTCAATCTGCGCGGCCAGTCGTCTATCGCAGCACGAACGAAGTCCATGTCAATATCGGCGGCTGCCTTAATCAAGGATGTCTTGAGTGACTCCAAATTGGGATGAGGCTTTGAGCACGCCTATTCCTCCAAGTGTTGTCATATCTTGTAATCTAACGGATTCAAATCTGGACTGGAGGAGGGCCAGTCTTCGTGCCGGATGAAGTCGATTTCACGCGCCGCCAGCCAGTCTTGTGTGCTCTTCGCTCTATGAGCTGGCGCCGAATCTTGTTGGAATACCCAGTGCCTGTTATTGAAAACATGGTATGAGAAACAGGTTCCACAAGGTTCGTCAGGACTGTATTTTGATACACAACTGCATTCGTTTTTACATCTTTCTCACAAAAATGTACCTCTGTTAAACCCCAATAAGAAACTCCCAACCATACCATGAGCGAGGATGGAAAATGACTTCGTTAGACACGCGGAATACGGTTGCTAGCTTCTTCACTACTGTGTGCGTACACCTTATCATTTTGTTTGTTGTAGCTCTCTTTTACGGTAAAAATTTTTTCATCCCAAAAAAGAATTTCCCGATATTTTTTTCCCGCGTACCGCTTCAACAAAGCGCGGCATATCTTCAGTCTCAGGTCCATTAGACGAGCATTCAAACGATGTCCTGTTTTTCTTCGATATGCCCGAAGCCCTAAGTCTTCATTTAACACCCTTTTAACCGTGGTTCTGCTTAACCCCATCTGAAGGGCCAACAGTTTCTGCTTACGTTTGGGATTTCTTTGAATTCGCGCCTTCACAGCTTTTATCACTGCTGGAGTCTTAACAGACCGAGGGCGACCATTTCTTGACCTGTAATCTACACTAGAGTCTTCATTGTATCGTTTGATGGTACGATAAACGATACTTTTGGTTATATTCAAATTTTTCAGTATGTCTAAAATTTGAATTGGCGCGTAACCGCAACGATGCAACGCAATAACTGCAACACGGTCTTCTTTAAGCGTCCACTCCATATTTAAAAATGAGTAAAATTCTAAAAAGTATTCAGTTTTATTTTCATGAACAATTCGAAATTCGAATTCAATAAACTTTTTTGAGGCCAGCATTCTAAAAGAAAAGTTTTTACTGTGTGACAATACTTATGACCTGACTAGGTATATTCGGTACGTGGAGCCACGTCATCATATGGTTGTAGCAGGAATGGTTCAGCTTGACCGTTGTAGTACCACGCTCTCACAGAATACCAGCGTAAAATAGCAGCTCAAGCTCCTGCTGTGTTCTGTATGGTGAGTGTAGAGAGCCGAATACTCTTTTTACTGGAAACAAGGCATTCCATCTCAGTCCTCAGGGGTGACAACACATCTGTATATTAATTCTTAAATAAGGATAAGTGTAGATGTCTTCTATAGGCAACAATATCCAATTCCCATCAGGTGGGTTGTGTGCTGGTTTGTAGCGCTTATTAAAAAAAATAGTTATGTACTAATAATTTTTTCAAAATTATGAGTTAATAATTTAATGCAATCGTCTATTTGTTCTACGGAATTATCTATGTTCGTAAATTACATAATGCTATTAACCTTGCCTGCCGAAAAAAAAAACGCGAAACTCGAGGAGGGTATGTTTTATACTTAAGTATTATAAAACGCCGTTTTCATCGGCCGAATGATTTCAAACCGGTAGGCAGTGTTAATCAGACGTACCTTGCTATCATTATTGTACAACAGTTTCAGTCCAATGTTGAATGGTTTCAAAACAGTCTGAAGGATGCTCGCGCGTAGAAATGTGTTTTGATTGCTGGAGCCATCCTAAACGACATGGTACCGTACCAAGTTACATTTGTCACTATTGACACTATCGCTGAATTAAACATTATTATTTGTTATACCCATCGTTCATTAAGTCATACAAAAATGTATAATATTGGCTTCACAGTATTTTAATCAAAGTAGCACTTGTTCGTCATATATTTTTTTTAAATTTTATGTTGTTGTTTATATTTTACTTTTTTATGTATAACCTATGTTATAACGATCTTGAATTGATAAAATTTTTGTAATGATTTCCCTAGATTGTTTTGGACGTTAAATTTATGTTATACAAATACAGCTTTAAAAATAACAATGTATTCCTTGAATAATCGTGTCGCTATTGGTGTTCATTTTCTTAGAATTCTTATTACTGTGATGCCAAATTTAGGTAAACCTGCTAT